ATTAATTATTAGTGTTATTGTTATTATAATATATATAATTTACTTATAATATTCAGAAGTGGAACGACTGTTCCAATTATATTAATATGATATGACAGTATGAAGATTAATATAATATGTACATTGTACAAACAATAATATATATAGGTATTCAGTGCGCTTTTATGGCGTCTGCAGTAGTACATATTATTTTTACATCACACGCATCTGTTCCAAATATTATTTTATCGGCTTGGTGCTTTTACTTTCCGATTTCAGGGATTTTCTTATTAGGACCGTATATTTCTGAATAACTGCTTGCTCTATTATACAGGGTAATTTTTTTTTTATCATGAACCACTCATTATATCAAAAAGTTTCAATAGTATCAATATTTTTCTAAGTATTTTGATACGTAAAAATCGAATTTTGGACGAGTAGTTTATGAGTTATAAGTATTTAAAGTTTAAATTGGTAGAGTGGAGTGGTACGGGGTTACCCCGCAAAATGTTTTTCCACTACTCCACATCACTAAACTTTAAATACTTATAACTCATAAACTACTCGTCCAAAATTCGATTTTTACGTATCAAAATACTTAGAAAAATATTCTGCTTTGAAATATGAAATTAAAACTCTAGGTTGTCAGTCAAAAAAGTAAAAACCTAAAAAATTATAAGGATAAAAAATATTTAAAAGTATAATTTTTTAATAAAAACGTTGTTTTTTTTAACAACATGAAACTTTGTAAAAAAATATTTTCAAAAACATTGATACTTTTTGTAATAATGAGTGGTTCATGATAAAAGAATCACCCTGTATATTACGGAGTGATTCACTGATCCATTTAACGTGACACTCGTGATTTCAGAAAACAATAATGTTTTTGAAAATATTTCTAACACATAAGTTTAAGTCATTACATGACAAAATTTTCGAAAAAAATTATTTTACTATTTTAAATTACAACTCATATTTTWAATTCCACAATCCAAAGAAGAATATCATTCTGAAGTATTAAATAGGGATTTTTTTYCGGAAATAAATTCGGAGTAAAATTCAAATTTTGGATGAGTAGTTTATCTGTTATAATTAATATTTAAAGTGTAAGTGGTTGGAATAGTACTTCACGTTCCCATGTAAGCTTCTTTTCCAGATGCTTATATATACTAAAGCAGTATAGATACTCCAAAAACAGATTTTGTTTTGAAATTAGGAATCAAAAATGCATGTTGTCAGTCAAAAGTAATAAACAACGAACACAGATAAATTTGTTAATCATAAAACTGTTTTTTTTGTGTACAAAAGTGTACAAAAGTGTACAAAAATAAATGAAAAGTGGATCACTCGTCGTATACCTATATCGATTCTGTCGGAAGTCAATATACGAGTACATAAACATAGAAAAAAAAACAATTTTATATTTACATACGTTACATAAATCGCGCCGTTATGGCGTTCGCGCCTATATAAAATATTATTATAGRCATCGTGGCGGTCAACATAAACATTATATATCATATATACTGTCATGGAGTGTCGAAACCACGTGAGCCAGCTCGTCAGCCGTATCTAATTAATTGCCTCGGCACACGTACCAAACTACCTACACACACACACACATATATATATATGCATTTTACTCGTTCGGAAGTGATATTATAATACAATTATATATTTTACCGTGTTAAACAATAGTGAACTGTCGTAAATCGGCGGCGGCGCGTTGTCTGCAATAATATAAATTTTATCGGGCTTTTTTTTTTTTTTTTTTGATTATTATTATTTTAATATTATTTTTTTCCGGCCCCTTCTACACCGCCACCGGAATATTGGCCCCGTTTTCTATTGCACAAGGA